AGTGGACAATGCCGTTATAGCAAGTGTCCGCCATTGGGACAAAAAAAAATAGTAATTAAATAGTAAAATAAATCTTATTAATATGTCGCTTGCCAAAACAACAGGCTGAAACTGGAAAATCTGTGCTCTAGCCGGCTGTTCATAATCGTTTATGCCTGAAGCCGGCCTTCATTGTAACCATCTTTCTTTCCTATTGTAGTTTCTTTTCTTGTAAAGCACAGAGAAAGAACGTTTTTTTGTGAAAAAACATTTAAGTTGAAATTTTGCATTTTAATTCGTTTAAATATGTTCCATTTATCATTTTATGATGGATTATTATGCATTGCTTAACTGATTCAGTGGTGTTAAAATCTTGTCGTAATTTTATGTTTAAGGCTGATTATGAAAGACTTTTTTGCCTAACATAATGATTACCGTTCCTGGTTTTAGGACTTTTATTATCACATAAAAGCTAAATAACTAAATTACTTAACCTCTAAAACTACTTGAATGATTTGAGAAGCAGATATACTAATATGTATTTTACCCAAATTGTCCTGAATTTGGTGCAACTGTAGTAAAAATGTGTCATTTCGTGGCGTTCAAGTGTAGCTTCAAAGGATACAATCTCAGCTGAAAAATGTCTCAATCGAGTAAAAGAATCGCATGTACACCATAATACATCAGTGATCGATTGCCCATTCTTTCCCTTAGATTTATTACTTTTAACTTCTAATATGTAAAACAGTTACATTCTATATCAGAGTATGATTAGTACATCATGATTATGATGAGTATATTTGAGTATGCTGAGCACTACTGTGTTCTATGATACAGATCTTAAGCTTAGGACTTTATGTTCTATGATACAGACCTTAGGAGGTTCAAAATGTAAAATTTATTTATATAGTCCCAAAAGAAAGAAAGAAATGTTTGTATTAAGTCTTAGTTATGTGGTATTTTTCTTTCATTAATTAAAAAAAAAAAAAAAAAAAAAAAAAGCAGTTAGTACTTCTGCTGAAAAGTTAGCATTTAAAATTGGCAAAATTAAATGTTCTTATAATTTTAGTTTTATAAAAGACTCATGTTCTTTTTGAAGATATTTGACATAGATGAATATTTTAGAAGGAACAAAAGATTCTACATCATTTTTGAGGAAATATATAACTTTAATTAACAGAAAATAAAAATTTGTAAATAATGGATAATCTGTTGAATAAGCAGTATTAAAATAAATGTTGTTTAGTCTATTGGAACAAAACAAAAACAAATGCAAAACTGTGGAAGAAGACCTTTTTAAATATTATTGGAAGAATTGGATGCAAGTTAAAATCACAGTAACTTTGATGTTGTTGATTTTATTATTAAATATAGCATTGTACTGCAATTGTACAATTTTGATGACTGAAGAAGGCAGAAAAAAGTCCATTTTACCAAATGAAGGAATGTTTTTGAATAAATTAGCAAAACTAAATCTGAAGAACATATTATTAAAGAATCAAACTTTATTAGCCATGGAAAACACATTTTACCTCTTTTAGGATTTAAGATTAGGATTAATAGGAAATTTAAAAAATCTCATAGTGTGACCAACATATGTTAAACGACCCTGAAAAAGAACATTATAAAAACTATGTTATGTGTTTATGTTTCTGTATAAACCAAAATAGCTGCAAAATTCTGCAGAATTTTTAAGGTCTTTCCCTTATGCTCGTATATTTTGGCCGTTTGGAAGGAAGTTAACAATTTACTCATCCCAAATACAAAAGCTTAGAATCTCAGACAGTTCTGGACAAACAGGTACAGTTCCTCACTGGACAACTGTTTCTAAAGATCACTTGAAAAAGGTTGAGTACTAATCTACATAAATAATTCGATGTTCAAATCGGATTCGGGAAAAGACTTTACTTAGAAATCCAGGATTCATAAATTATGCTTTAAATAAAGTAAAGCACTTTTTATGCCAGGTGTGGATAAATCTTTTGACCGTATCTGGCATAACGGTATCATTTATAAATTTATTAAACTTGAAGTTAAGCATGAAATCATCTTGTTGCTATCTTCTTTTCTGGAGCAAAGATCTCCCAGAACCAGTATAGTTGTAGCTCTTCACTCAAGACTCTTGAGGATAGAGTCCAACTGATATCAGTTCTTACCTCAATATTTACCCACATTTATGTTCAAAATTTCTCCCGCTTTATTAACAATAGTAATTGTTTCACCGCATACTAATACAGATGGTACGGGCATTGTATGAAGGTAAAGTTTGGCGAGCATAATGACCTAACGGTGAAGATCCTGAAAACTATGGAAAATTTATCAATGCAGATAAATCTTTGCTACTGGCAGTTAAGAAAGAACAGGCATAAAGGTATCTGTATTATCTTTGCTGTCATTAATCCAATAATTACTTATGCATCTCTAGCTTATACTTCTATTTTGGGCGCAAATTTGCAGCCACTTCAAGAGTTTCAAACCAGGTTTTGAAGATTGTTGTTAATGGAGTACCATTCTTCTTGAAAACCTCAGTGCTTCATTCAGATCTTAGCTAGATCTCTTGACAACTTTCCTTCTTAGTGTCAACGAATGATTCTTAATTAAAGCTAGAATGTGGTACCCTCAACTACTTGCAGAGTCTCGATTACGATTACTCGACAATTATCCTTTCAGACTATATGCGAAGCTCCTGATCAAGCTTATCATCATATAAACTAATTGTTTCTCTAGTATATGAGCGTTTCTTCTTAACTGTGCTGGACAATGAGCCTAAATTATTCATACACTTGCTTTAGACTTCTATCTTCTTCCTATCTATAATCTCAACTTTCATATTGTGTTATGGTATTCAAATTCATGAAATCTCACTATCAGGTCCTTAAAAGTTCTACATTTCATTGAGTTACACTAAAGTGAGCTTTTAACGATAATCTAGCATAGCAACTGTATATCATATTTTTTAAAAATTATTTTCCTTTTTTTAACCTAAAGTAAATAATTAAAAGCAACTGGTCAAATGGAATGGGCTCTTGAAGAAATGAAATAATAGTGAAAGAGTGGGAAAGACTTGTTATTAAATTGCAAAAATTTCATTCATAGAAAAGAATAAATTTAAAAAATGTTAATTAAATTTTTTAATCGAATTAATTTTAGTAAAAAGGATAACATAAATTGTGGGCTAGACTCATGAACATCTGCTGTATGTAACACACTTGTAGCTCAGTGGATAAAACACTTGAATTCTCGTATTTTCTTCTTCATTTAATATTCCTTTCCGAACTTGAAATTTTTTTTTTATCTTTATGTGAGCAATATTCATTTGTTCCAAGTTTTCATATAAAATTCTTCCTTAAAAATGACTATCTCAAAACAAATATTATTCATTTGTTGTACTACAATAAACAAACTAAAATCACCTTAAGCCTATGTATCCGAGTTAGTAGTTCCTTTAGAAAAGAAAATGCATATTAACCACGTATTCAGTATGTCATTACATATTTATCGAACTTAACTACTTGTATCAAAAAGTATCGACTTTGAAAGCGATAAGGGAAAAGACGTAAAAAATCAAAAGTGATAGTATCGTCAATATTCAAGGCGAAGCATTCAAAAATGCCTTGTGACCAAAAAGCGATAAAAACAACTTTGATATATTGCTTAGCATTAGTATTAATATTAATGATGATGCACTCAAAAATGCTTTTTGACAGAAATGTTGTAAGAAAAGAAAAATGTAAAGGAAATCTTGTATAATAATCCTGTACAGTAATTTTGTATAAATAATATATAAATCATGTCATTATATATATTATAATTAATATAAAATTATATTAGCACATTTATTCATGGTGATGTACGTAATGGCGTGTTTTTAAAGGAAACTTTTAAATGAAGCTTGAAAAGCTTATCATTATGATGAATCAATCTTTTAAAAATTATTTTCCTACGAAATACAAACTAGAAGTTTTTTTTTTTTTTTTTTTTTTTTTTTGTTTTGTTTGTTTGTTTTTGTTTGTTGGTTTGTTTTGTTTAAAAGTTTTTGGATATACTAAGTTAACAAATACAGACAATTTAATATAAAAGGAAACCCATTATTACCTTGCCATAAAATAATAACTGTATATATAAACTAAAACCTTATCTTTCTATGTATCGATTTGTTGTTTTATTCTGAATTTAATATTTTTTATAGAAGTCCCGTGGTTTTTCCCAAAGTCAATAAACAGACAAGGTTAGCCTCTTCCCAACGCTCAACTTCAATGACGTCAGTTACCCTACAGAAGACGAAGGACAGGAAATACAGCTTTGGAGCAGATAATGAGCCAGTGACTTCACAACAAAGCCAATGATATCAAAGATTTCTGGACCTTGCAGCAAGGAGGAGAATTTAAGGAACAGCAAACCTTGCAGTTTGTAACTTAGTTCAAATTTGGAGTTCTCAGTACCATAAAATTCTTTCGCATCCGCAGGAGGTTGCTATTACTACAACATGGCACCGAAAACGGTTTTAATTTTTTTTTAAATCTCTTATGTATTACTGTTAATGCAAACTGTATCAACAGCTTTTAATCCATTTTATAACTCTCTTGAACGATGGACAATGAAATTTTTCTCAATTACAACCAGTGGTTCGTCTATTTTTTCCCATGCTGCTCAGAAACTGTCCTGCATGGGTTAAAAAATGTCTCAAACAAGATTGAATGCGCCGCCCAGACTAGTGGTTAGGGAAGCCGACTGCGATACCAAAGGGCCTGAGTTCGAATCACGCAGAAGGCATGTTGTATTTGTCCGTCCCCTCATAGGAGGTAAGGGTGGCCTACCTATTAGGTACCTCCATAATAAATTGACCTCCTCGCACACACATGAAAGAAAAGCAAGTAACACTGTGCAATTAATCAAGTTTTTCCCCATCCATAGTGATTCATGCATGTTTCATCTTTTTCCTTCAAATGTACTTATAGGATACCTTGTACTTTTGTCATCTTTCATGAATAATCTAGAATGAAAATAGAATTGGTAAATACCTTTATGGGGCATCGTCGAGTAGGCTCCAAAGGCTGCAGCACCTCCTCCTGGCCGACCTACGATTGGCCACTCCAGTGAGGTGCCCAGGTCAGACAGTTCTCCAAGTGAAAATCTTGAATATCTGAAAAACAACAGAGCACAAATTAGAATTTCTCTGATCAGATACTATGAACTATCTGAAATGAATAGATCTAACAAATAAACTTCGACATAAATGAATCGATAAAAATCGTTTATTTAATTGGCATGAATTTCAAATAGAAATACTCTGTAAATTATCTGGACCATGCAAAAGCCGAGTAATTTAATCCGCTAAATACCTGCAATTGCTTCGACGTCTATTCCTGATACTTAACCTCTGGATGAGCTCAGCTACCATCCCAGTTACGTGCAGTCTGTCTATCCTAAGAAACGCTCTCGCCAGTTAGTCTGCAGCTGTCTGTTGCAGTAGAAACGCGCCTGGACCCATTTTACGTAAGGGAGTCTTGAAGACGAATGATAACTCTTTTCCCCTCAGCCAATAGTCGCCCAAAACAAAATAACAGTAAAACAACCCTTGGTCCGCCGCTATTTGAAATGTACTAGCCTTGTTGCTATAGCGACCGCCACCCGCCAGACACTATGGTGGGAGCTCTTTTTCTCGTAGACAGACAGTACACACAGCACAGTTCGCATTACATATGTACGACTACAGCATGTATCGCGTGTATTTGGGAAGAAAGAATTGCTTAATCTCACAACCAAAGGGTTAAATGCTCCACAGAAGCCGTGCTACTTATGGGATTTCGTGATTCTCCTAGTGTGTAGTATGAAGCCCACTTTTTTTAGAATATTCTCAACGAAGGCATCCCTTTTATTAGGTTGAAATAGAAGAGTAGTATGAGAGAAGCTACTTTCGGTGATATCGATTATCTATTTAAGTAACTGTATCTTATTCATTGTTCCTGGAGTTTATCAGAAACTTACTGAAGTGAGATGCATCAATTAAATTAATAATAGCCTTATATAAGTAAAATTATATAGAAATAATAGCAAAGATAAGCTGCGAATAATTCTGCAAAAGCGAAATTTAAAAAGAATGGTATAGGATTATAATTTAAGTTAGCCAGTTATCATAACTTGGATATTTACTATAACTTCTCTTTTCCGTTTTCCTCACCAAGAATGTAAATGAGATAGATAGTATTTAAACTGAAGTTTTTGGATTTGAAGACAAAGAGTGTTTTCCATGCTACGTTTAATTATTTCCTGCCAGCTCTGATAGTTGTAATTATTCGACTTTGCCGCTGACTCCTTGATTTTGACGCTCCGATTAAAATTACTGAAACAGCTTATAGTAAAACTTAATTGTATGGTCTTTTACTTTTTTGCGAAAAATTGTTTCAAATTTAACCAGTTAACTGTGATTGACAAGTATACTCGTTATGGAGAAGCGACACAATTTTGTGTATTGACGAGTATACTCGTCACGTGTATAATGAAATGAAATGATAAGAGGGAGGTTTATTTTAGTAAGTACTGTACATAATGACAACGTAATAGAAACAGAGAAAAGAAAAATAATAACAAAGAAACCGGAGCTAGTGATTGATTATAATAAAAAAATGATGGAGTGAATATGAGAGATGGAATTATCATAGCGTACTCCACAGCAAAAAAACGACTCATAAAGTACTACAAAAATATATTTCTCCATTTCTTAGACATTATGTGTCTGAATGCATTCATATTATATAAAAAAAATAATACTAATGGAACATTATCGGTATCAACTTTTTGCTCAAATTTATTGAAGACACTTTTGCGACGTATCCAGTTGAAAGAAATAAATCGACACAAACTCGGCCATTTAGACCTAATATAAGCCAATTAGGCGAAAATCATGTTCCGGATTATATAACTAAAATAAATAAATAAGTTAATAACTTAAATGTTAATTCCCTAATGAATAAAGCATAATTTAATTCGCAATAATAAAAGAAGACGTTATTTTGTTGTTGGGAAGCTTAGTTTCTCTAGAATGGCAACAAATCCACTATTCTGATAAGTTTTAAATGTATACAAACATGGACGGCGTAGTAATCAGAAATTAGGCTTAACCGCAATTAAAAAACTTTTAAATTGTTGGTAGTTCCACAATTATTGCATATAGGTTAACTAAAGGTATAAAAACCTTAACCGGAAAATAAGAACAACATAATTCAATCATTTTAAAAGCAAAAAATGCACAATTTACAAATATATAAGAATAAAGTAACTGAAATCACTGAGCCGAGTAATAGAATGGATATAAATATACATATATATTTATATACTTTTGGTGCGGCCGATTGCAACCAAAGCACGAGGTGCACATCTACATGTTATAGCAGTCATATAAACAAAATTTTAATGTTCTGAGGTTACTCGTTTTTGAGTTATGCGAGATACATACATACGTACGTACGCACAGACGCAACGAAAAATTCACTTCAGAATTCATTTTAAATCAGTTTTAAAATTTTTTGGTGGGGAAAAGAGTCCTTTATTCTGCCCTTACGTACAGATGTCTCGCAAAACATCGTTAAATTGCTTTCGATAGCGGTGAAAATGGATATTTTCGTTGAAATATGATGGCTGAAATTTTTCGCGGTTACATTACTTCCTTTTCACTTCGTACAAGGAAGTAAAAATGAATAAATTTTAGCTTGCTTAGAATAATTTTTAACTTACTTGAATTAAAAATAAAATTTTATTTTTCGTTCATTAGGTATTTCTTAAAATGTCTTTCCGTTTGCAAATAGACATATTAAACTGGCATTATATTAAATTCTTTTAAACACACATTGTTTCATTCACATTGTTTGGTATTTCATATATGCTACCCGTAGTATTACTTTCTTTCTGTACATTTCTGAAAACATTTTAGTTGCTCATTTTTGTGCAAAACTTGAAAATTAACAAAAATAAATCCTTTTGAATTTAGCACAGAACATTTACGGAACTTAACTGATTATTAGAATTATCCATTTGTTTTAGCTCGGTTATAAATATAGCTGCAAATGTTCGAGATTCCAGAATTTCGCCATTGTTCCTACAGATGTGGTTTCCACCGCCTCTATTTCGAAGAACATTTCGAGGATCTCCCACCCCACTTACCCTACCGCCAAGCCTTTCGAGAGGACTGCCGGCTTTCCAGTATTTTAAGTGTCTTCATGCCGTACAGACACTCACAAACGTCCCTATTTTCTCCGGAATTCGAACCTCAGCCCATCGATACAGCAGTCAGCATCGCTAACCACTTTACTGACCAAAGTGCTTTTGTTTTACCTAAAGATTTATAGCAAAAAATTGCTTTTTTTTTTTTTTTTTTTACTTATTCAGCACGGCAATACTTATTTAGCAGAGTATATATTACAAATGCAGTTTGGACTAAATGGCGCTGTAATCCGAGCTTGCGATATTTCCAAAAACAACGATAATGAGCCGCACAACCGGATTAGTGATTAGTGACTCTGACTGACGAACCGAAGAGTCCGGGTTTGAATTTCGGAGAAGGCATGGAATGTTTGTAAATGTATAGTGTCTGTGCAGCATGGGTCACTCTAAATATGCAGCTAGCCGAAAGTCCTTTCGAGAGGTTGTTGGAAGGGGTAGGGGTGGGAGAATCTGGGACCCGTTCCCTCGGGGGTACTCTCCATCAAAATAGGGAGCGAAACTGAGCTCTCAGTTCTCTATCCAATGGTTGGTGCGATCTTGCACTTCTTCCCACAACAACAAGATTTGGGCTTTCCTGTCTCGTGAGACTGAACCTAACTACAGGTTCCCTCGCCCCTTAGAACCAGCACAGAGGTTCAACCTTCGCCCTCGCACCTTGGAGTGAAGGACGCATCGCCTAAGGCGACACTGGTCGTCAAATTTGCTACCCGCCAGTCTCTCGGGCTGCCCGCCGCAGTAGGACATTACCCAACGAACCCGAGGGCGGTACCCCCCGGGCTACACCGCTCTAGGACCTGCTAGACCACCGGGCCGGCCAATGAGTGACCTTTCCGGGGCCTCCAGAACCCCATGTTCATAAATTTTATACCCCCGTGGCCGAGACTTCCTAGGCACAGATCCTAGCCAGTAGTTTCGCAGAGTTCTCTACGTCGATCCCCGGAGGAGATCCACTTCTTGCCACGATGAACTTCGTGGGTTTGATTTGATGTTACTGTCAAACAAGTGAGATAAGTCACAACAACACTTACATAATATCGGCTTAAGAATGCCAATAAGAAAACGAGTAGATTGATGGTAAAAAAGTAGTTTATGGAGGATTGAATGCTTATTATAACATGGCAAAGCTCACAAGGGTTGTAAACCAAGAAATGCACTTAGGCAGATATACGGTTCTAAGTGAAACTTTGTATTCACTCTTCGGGAAAAACTGCAGAAACTGTCCACGTAGACAGTCTGTTGCATGGTTTCGAACCCAGAACGAAGTACCAGCATTAAAACGGTTTGAACCACTTCACTGATGGGGTTTATAGTGGATGAAGTAAGTATTTAGATTCTGCTCTCAGTCGTAGCAAATTATTAATAGCGAACTGAATATTTTTTTTCAGAGAGGAATTTATATTAAAAAAAATAAAACTTTGTAAAATGTTTTTCTTTTATTCGATATGCTGAACTATTTTGTATTGTGCTGAAATAATTCCTTTGTGATTTTTTATTTACAGCCGAAGTTAGATATTATTCCCAAAGCATTAAAATCATAAAACTCATGCTTCAAACCACTTTGGAATCTTTAAATGCAAAGTAATTTAGAATTTTATTATTTTCTCTGGCATTTTCTATTGATCACAAGCGACTATGCTCTTGCTGTTCTGAGTATTTTAAAATATATATTACACAAAATTGTAAAGAATTTCAGAAATGCAGTTTATGTTTTCATGAATGAAAACAAAAGAACTGTTTGATACTGTACATTTGTGTTTTATATTTTACAATTTTTAGTGTAATTTCTTTAACAATTAAAAAGTGCATATAAAATTATGTCTTTTATTGCACAATACTTTTGCAAATTTTATGCTTTGGCATAAAATTTCTGGAGCTGAAAAATAAAGAAATACAAAAAAAACCTTTTATAAATTTCCTTATCAC